ATACTTATAATAATTCTATTATTACTAAAAAAAATGGTGGCCCTCAAATTTGGTGGCCTAAGACGAATGCCTCATTTATAAACACATTGTGTTGCCCCTGGATATACTATAATTATGGAGGTGGTAGGTGTGATAGCGACTGACAGTATTGCTTGAAACGGTGGTGGTTGTGATGACAAAGGTGGTTGGTGGTTCACACTAGTGTCGAAGAAGCCAAAGGAGGTTAAACATCTACCATATATACGAAAGAAACAAGAAATTTTAAAAGTATGTATAAATAGTGTAATTTTTCGCTGAGGGTTCATCCAAAGCCCCTCAGCCTTATGTGGCTCCGCCCCTAATTGCCAATGGTAGTGATGGTTGTCAATGGCGGTGGTGGCGGCAGCAGAGGTAGTTAGCGGTGGTGGTTGGTGATTGTGCAAATAGAATGGTGGTGAAAATTATTCACAAAAATACCTCTTAATGATATTAAGACCTATTCATACCAAATTAGTGTTTAAATGTTAATGTAAACAAATACACTTATTAATGAGAGTTTTTGGCTAAAATCATCCCTGAAGTATGACCTAAACTTAAAGTACATCCTTGTGTTATATAAATGAACAAAAAACATCCTTGAACTATTCAAAAAGCTGCAAGATTCATCCTTCTGTCTATTTTTTTTAAAGAAAAGCAGACATAATGTCGCACATCAACAATTTGAATGATAAACATATAAAAATGATAAACCTATAAGAAAAGTAGGGTATGAAGTAGAGCTCTATAAAAAGGTAGGGTAAAAAATAAAATAAGATTATTAAATAATTAGTAAAGACAAAATGAGAAGATTACGACGCGATCACGGTTACATAAAATGAGAAATGATAGATTTAAACGATACGTCCATACAAAATATAAACATGATATTTAAACTAACAATACAATATAATAGGCGCGATCACGCACCAAACTGATGGTTATGAGACTTTTCGTCATTACTTAACGATAAATTTAAACAACATCATACAAAATATAAATATGGTATTTAAACTAACGATACAATACAACGAGTAACAATTACCATCCAAGCAAGATGTTATTGATCAATATACTTAAAAGCTTATCTACATAAGCTAGCTCGACTTAATGAGATGGTGTGCCTACTAAGAAGGTAAATTTATGCTTGTTGGCATAACATACAAACCAATGGCATCAAGAAATAAGCCTGAAAATCCATGAAATCCAACAACAACCCCACCTTGCATAATAAATGAGAAGTTGGTATCAGTATCAATTACTGAACCCATAGGGCCATGATGGCTAAGGTTAGTGTGAACCTTGATGGATTTTATTATAAGATAGGGACCATAGAGTCCATATGTCCCACTTAAGCCTGTCAAATACTCTGAAGGACTGTCTATATTGATCTACAAAAATTCAAGAAAAAGCTAATTAGCCTTGTTAACAAGGAGAATATTGAATGATGGTTGGGAACAAAGAAAAAATTTATTATTTCACTTGAAATATATATATATATTTATATATTAAATTTATTCTCGAAGGCAATATCGATTAGAAAAGATCTTGTATGGGATACACTAATAAAACTTATACTAGTTGGTGATAGTTGACGGCAATGCTAGATGTGATGGTGGAAGTGGTTGATAGTAAGGATAAAACATATAGTGGTGGTAATGGTTGATAGTAAAGATCAAACACTATAGTGGTGGTAGTGGTTGATAATGGTGGCGACAACGGATATAGTTATAGTGATATTGAGGTGGTAGATGTGATAGTGACTGATAGTAGTGGTTGACAACGCTGGTGATTGTGATGACAAAGGTGGTTGGTTCTAGGCGATAGTGGTGAAATCAGAATTTTCACTAAGGGGATCAAAATATAAAGTAAAGACATGAAGAAGGCAGAGGAGATTCAACATCTACTATATATATGTAAGAAATAATTTAAAACAATGTATAAATAATATAATTTTCCCCCAAAGTGGTTTCATCCTAACCCCCTCGACATTACCAGGTTACACCCCTAGTTGTTGACGGTAATGGTGGTTGACAATGATAGGGGTTGTGATGACAGATGTAGTTGGTGTTTAGTGAAGTGGCCGATGATTGTGTGGATAGAATGGTAGTGAAAATTATTCACAAAAATACCACTTAATGATATTAAGATATATTTAGATATTCATTAAGTGCAAACAAATAAGATCTAAAAACTATGTTGTTAGGCCTCTCCAAAAACATCACCGCACACGTATCATGATCCAACAACATGTTTAAAGAGTCCGAACAACATAGACAAAAAGTAGACATTAATGTTACCTCAGTTGTGAGATGGCCTCCAGAACCACCAAATGTTTTAGATTCCATGACACCATTTTCTTCAATGCTCTTAAACATGATAGAATCTATAATCAATCCATGCTTTACAACTATCTGTTTCACTACACCTTTAGGCCTATAATTCCAATGCCCTCCTCCCGAACCTCCCCATCTCTCAACACCAATAGCTCCACTCTGTAGTTTCTCTTCTCTAAAAGATGTTTCTCCTTCATTTATATCATGCAAATCTATACCATAAGTTGTTAAACTTTCTGTGAGGCTTTTTAATCTCTTGTTGATCTTTCCTATATCCCACCCTATTTTGTACCTTGGAATAACCTCTTTCACAACATTAGATAACATTGTACAGAAACAATAAACAGTGTCTTCCTCGTTTGATCTCTGTATTACCTCAGCAGCAAACTTCTCAACTACGCCCTCAGCATCTTGTGCAAGGTCTCTAATTTCATCAGCCCAATTTTTTACTCTTTCTCCTTTCTGTTTTCTTGTATCAACATCTTTCAAGAATGCTCGCATACGTCCCAGCTCTGTAACAAGTTCTCTTACTTGTTCATTCAGTCCATATAGGAATATTGCTTGTTCTGTGATTTTTGATATTGCTTTGGTTATAGCAGCCTCAGCCATTTCAAGTGTTGTCCTGGATATTTCGAGAAGTAAACTGATCATATGGGATGAAACAAAAGGCTAATATGTTATCTTGGTGTCCTTTGTTGACTTTGTCTTCCAGTCGCTCAGCAAACAACAACGACAAAATACTCAGTGTAATCCACAAGTGGGGTCTAGGGAGGGTACGTAAGCCACCCTTAGGAGGTAGAGAGATCTTCGAGTCGCTCAGAGACATTAGAAATAAAACAAAAACTAGCAGAAACTGAAAAAACTATACCATCAAATGTGAGTTCCTGTTGATTCTTTCTTTTCAACAATTTCTCTTAAATCTAACAGCCAATGCTCACTTTTGACAAACTTAAAACTCCAAAACTGTTAAGAAAGTATATTTAAGGGATTATTTTAAGCCTATCCCAAACATAATGAACCATTTTTGTATTTTCTCTATGGGATACTAGGACCACTCAAGTCACATCACAGAGACAATGGTACAAGGTTGTATTAATGGGCATAAGTTGTAAGAAAGTAAATGACAGAACAGGCGTCATTTGATAGTTGGTTACATGCAAGTATAAGTAATGTAGGGATTAATTATGAGGGAATCTATATAATATTTTATGCGGAGTTCAGTTGTTTTACTTTTTATCCAGCATAAAATAACACATAGATACCCTTAGGGGCTGTTCGGTTACTGGTTAGAGTTATGCAAGTATTAGTTATGTAGGGTTTAGTTATGCAAGTATTAGTTATGCAAGTATTAATTATGTAGGGTTTAGTTATGCAGGGTTTAGTTATGCATATATTATTTAATTATGTAGAGATCACAATGCATAAATTATTAACTAATAAATATTGAATTTGTTGTAAATTAATATATATTACTTACAAATAAATAAGTAAGCAAATAGTATAAATTCTCCCTCTTTTGAATAAAAAGTAAAGAAAAAAATTCTCCCTAGATACTTAATTGGGATTGCTATTTTTTCATTTTGTTATTTTTTTATGTTTATAACTTATAAAAATAAAATATGATTAATATATTTCAAGTACATTATAATATCCTATTTTATATAATGTAAATATTCTATCAATATGTTGTATATATTGTTTATACAGTTTTAATATACCAAATATATGAATTATGTATAAATTCACATCCTAAACAAAATAATAATACATGTTAATTAAAGAAGTGGAATATATTTAATAATATATAACGCTATATACAATTCAATTTGTAATATTAATAAAATATTACATTTGGATTTCAAATGAAAATAGAAAAAAAAAAGTTGTTCGTGTATTAAAAAAAAGTTAGGAAAATAACATAGTTGGATAACATTTTCAATGAAAATAATTAAAAATAAATCAATAAGGGTAAATGTGTAATTTACTATTTTAATACATGTATAACTAATACCTGCATAACTTATTCCACCTTCTACCCTGCATAACTTATACATAGATTCCCTCATAAGTTATGTTGGTATTAATTATGTAGGACTACAAAAAACACAACCAAACACCGTATAAAATTAATACATGAATAACTTTTATATAACATTTAAAATTCTACCAATCAAACATGGTATAAGTTATGTTGACTTTTCCACCCAATACAAATTTTCTACCAAACATGGTAAAAGTAATGCAACTTTTTATACATGGATAAAATGCAACTTATACAGTAACCAAACAGCCCCTTACAACTTAAACATGTATTAGTCATGCATGTGGCTTTCTAAATTTCAAACCAAACATCGTATTAATTTTATACATGACTAACTCACCTCCTAACCAACTACCAAATGTAGTATTACTTATGCAATATTTAATACATGCATACCTCACCTCCAAATCAGCTACCAAACAACCCCTTAATTCATGGAGTTGGAGCAATCTTGGGAACCAAATAGCTCTGCATAAGAACCATTCTTGATCTCATTACCAATATCCACTGGCCATTTTACATAACATGGAGCAATTCTAGCTTCAGAATACATAAAAACGAAGTGAAACCAATACTTTTGTTTATAATCTGACCATACGAAATTATGTTCAATCAATAAGATGCATTACATTAGGTAAGGACTCAAGCACGTTGCGGACTAGTCGTGACTTGGGATGTAAAAGATCACTCGCGAGGAATTCTTTAACCACACCATTTACCTCTATGACGCTACATCCAGGCTGCTTCTTTATTCTCATCTGCTCAATCAATTTCCTAACACAGTTGGCTTCAATTTCCCAACCAGCTTCCTTGTACATGTTGTATGCAAGTATGTAAGTACCATAGTCAGCTACCTTCATGTTAGACAATTTTCTCCATATTCTATCACCTACTTTAAGATCACCGTAGACCCTACAAGCACCAAGTAAAGCTCCCCACACGTTAGCATCCCCTTTCTCTAGCCCTCCCATGTTCTCATCAATGAACTTCTCAGCATCCTCGAGCTTACCAGCTCTTGCTAACAGGTCTACCACACATGCACGATGCTCAAACCTGGGTTCAACCCCATAAACACTGCCCATTCTTTCAAACAGTGAAAGACCTTTGTCAACCATATTTGTATGAGTGCAAGCAGAGAGCACAGCAACAAATGTAGTTTCATTTGGTTGATTCCCACTTGCTAACATCCTATAGAACAATTGAACGGATTTCATTGCATCTCCGTTCATTGCAAAGCCTGATATGATGGCATTCCATGCTCCAGTATCCTTATAAGTCATCTCTTCAAAGACTGATGAAGCCAACTCCATTCTCCCACATTTAGAGTACATGTCAACCAATGCAGTAGCCAATATTGGGTTCGACTCATAATTATAATGCTTAGCCAATGAATGTACCCAAAAACCTTGTGCTAAGGCACCTAGATGAGCACAAGCCGTGAGGACACTAACAAGAACAGACTCATTGGGCTTAAGACCGTCTTCTTCCATCCTCCGATACAAGCAAAGAACCTCCTTAAAATCACTAGACCGTGAATATGCTGCCATCATTGCACTCCAAGAAATCACATTTCTCTCCGGCATTTCTTCAAACAACAATCTGGCTTTTCCCACCTCCCCTATTTTCCCGTATCCATCAATCATGGTAGTAAACAAAACCACATCCCTGTCGGGAATTTCATCAAACAACATACGTGCTTTGTCCATCTCGAGATTTAGGGAATAAAATTCAATCAATGCTGCAACAATAAACCGGTCATTTTGTAATCCCAACTTCAGTGGATGGGCATGGACTGAAAACCCAAGTTGCCCAAACTCATTTAAAACCATTGAACAAGCCTTTATCAATGGTGGAATGGTATAATTATTCACAATAAGTTTATCTCTCAGCATGTCTTTATAGCATATAATTGCTGGTATCGGCATTTCTGATTGCATGTATCCTCTGATCATGGTATTGTACAAAAAAGTACTTTGGTAGCCAAGATTTTGAAACACAATACGCGAATAGTTGAAGAAAGAAGGAATCCTAGAATTCACAGCAAATGAAAGAAGGGGAGCAATGGCTGATGGGGTTTCAGGGAGGTAGAGTTTGAGGAGTTGGCAATGGAGCTCTTTTAGATGGTTGAGAGTTCTGCACTTTTGCATTAAGGGCGTCAGGGCAGAATGAGTTTCGCTAACTGCTTTTAGAATCATCTAGAATGTTAAAAATGACATATCATTCTTTCCATTCCTCATATCAGGAAACAAGTCCAACGACTTCCCAATACATGATCCATCCTTTCAAACCAGCAAGGAATTTCATATGACATAGCTATCTTTTAAATATTGACTTGTCTAAGGTTTCTTGTGGCAATACTTCAAGGCTGGATTCTCTAGGACATGTTTACCAATTTCTGATCCTAAATTATCTTCGTTTTGGCTGATAATTATTAGTCATACCAGTGTATCCTAGCTGGAAGTGTCGTGCAGTTTCTTGTAAGGAAAGTTGGCTTGTTCGTCTACACATGTTCGCAAATGTTGTTGACTTGGCCTGGCACTCAAAAGCATTAAGCCAACGAGATCAGTGAATGATTAACCAAACTCTAAACACAAATAAACAATAATATACACGCTTTAGAAGCAACATTTTCCAAGAGTATACGTTATCCAATAAAGCTAGTCGAACTTCCCAAAATTGGTAATTAAACCATCTACAATTAAGTAATACCTTGGAACAAAGAAACTAATAACAGAAATATGTTTTCGTGTTCTAAAACTCATTTAGGCATTTTAGCAAACACCTTACATACATTTACAACAACAGACTTTCAACAGCTTCAAATTAGTAACTAATGATTCCTAAGTTATGGTTGTTCGGTACACGGAATGGGATAAGCAAGAATATCCCATGTGATTATTGTATTCTACCTTCTATTATGCGATAGTAATCCCACCATTTTAGTACAAATACTGAGATAAAATAATCCCGAATTAGCTAATCCGTCAAACCAAAGTTAATTTCAAATTTTATCCCGTGATTATTATTCTTATCTCACCTAGCAAACATTTCTTCATGCATACAAAAACACAATAACAGAAACTCAGCAAAATGTATTGCAAAAAAGCAAGAAATAGAGGAGTTCATACACACCTATTGATAGGCTTGTCTAATTTTCTTCACATCAAATTATGTCAGTTTATGATTTAAGTGATGAATAGAAAGTTAGGATTTACGATTTCACATTAAATTCTTCAATTTCGTCTCTAAAGCTAGCTCCTACTCATCCTCGTAATCCTACAGATCAAAGTAGAATGAGTTAATAAGGAATGGATAGGTTACTGACTTGCCCAAAAGCTATTTGGGCTGATATGAGCTAAATTAGGTCATAGTTTAATCCGCTCAATTCCTACTCGATATATATACATATCAACCCTATGTAGGTTGAAATGTGTTGCGCTGAATTGGATTGAGCATGCCAATAACACATTCAAAACAAATTGGGCGGGTTAAATTTGATTTTGACACTCCTATTAAAGTCATGCATATTATTATTGATGTTTTTATTACTATATTATTATTAATGATAATGGAAGAATATCAACAAATATTTTTCCAAGAAGAAGAGCAGTAGGACTGTTAATAGACAAAATGTCCAAATAGCAGTCAAGAGGCCAAATTCAAAGACCTTTGGCTAAATAGCAGTAGGAGTATACGCAGACCTTATCACTGCCTCGTAGAGGTAGATAGACTTTTTCCGAAAGACCTTCAGCTAAAATGCAGCAAATCCAAATACAAAGAAGAAGAAAATTGGTAACTAACCCAATCCACAATTAAGTGATACCTTGTTCACTATGAAACAAAGAAACTAATAACAGAAATATGTTTTCTTGTTCTAAAACTCATTTAGGCATTTTAACAAACACCTTGCATACATTTACAACAACAGACTTTCAACAACATCAAACTAGTAACGAATGATTCCCTATCACCTACCTTCTATATGCGATAATATTTCCATCATTTTTGTACAAATGTGTGATCAAATAATCCCGGATTAGCTAATACATCAAACCAAACATGAAACAAAGTTATTTATACACACCTACTGATAGGCTCGTCTGATTTTCTTCAAATGCTCACATAAAAAATATATCAGTTTATTATGATTAAATAATGAATTGAAAGTAAGAATTTACAATTTCACGTTAATAAATCATGACTAAAAGGTATCAAACGAGCTGAATTTGGATTGTTCAAATTATATTAAGTTAATAAGTAATGGACGGATTATTGATCTGCTTAAAAGCTACTTTAGTTGAAATGGCTAAATTATTTTATTTGTTTTTTTATAAATTTTTAATATCTAATATACTAAATATCCAATCAGCAGTCAAAGAGGCAAAACTCAAAATTTGCAGCCCTTCTTCTTCCATTCAAAATTTCTAATCAAATTGGAATTGTCAAGTGGATAATTGGGTCCCTAAAAAGCAAAAAAACAATCATCCCCTCTTACTATATATATATCCACAATTACTCTTCTACTTTCTTGCAGTAGCAAAAGCAGAAATGGAGAACAAAGCAAACATGGTGGCATCTCTTATGTCAGTGAAACAAAAATCTGGCAAGACATTTAGTCAAATAGCTGAAGAAACTGGTCTCACAAATGTCTATGTTGCTCAGCTTTTGAGACGTCAAGCTCAGCTTAAACCTGAAACTGCACCAAAGCTGAAGGCTGCACTTCCCCTTCTAGCTGATCAACAGCTTAATGAAATGATGGAGGCACCTTTGAGGTCTTATGACCCGAACTTGATTCAAGACCCGACTGTTTACAGGTGACCCACTTTACCCATTTCTTGATTTTTTTATGTAAAGATTTGATCTTTATGGTGTATGGTAGTTGGTAGGTCTAGAGAAAGATGTGTAAAGAAAAATGAATCTTAGGTCTAACTCAACTCCAAAAGCTAACTTACGAGGGAGACTATCAATCTTTTTTTATTGGATATGGTACTCTTCAACATCCCACCTTACGCCCAGGCTAGACATCTATTGAACAATAATTGGTATGAGTCGTGCTTTGATACCATGTAAAGAAATGAATCTTGGGTTTAACTCAATCTCAAAAGCTAGCCGGTAAGGGAAGTATTGCCCCAAGTTCATATAAGGAGATCACCCATCTTTTATTATCCAATGTGTGACTCTTCAATAAGATGTGGATAGTGGAATATGAAGAACTGGAGATTTTTGTTAAGTTGATTCAAGACCTACTATTTTATAGGTGACCACTTCACCTATTTTTTGGTTTATATATTTATTTATTATGTAAAGATTTGATCTTTATGGTGTTTGGTGGTTGATAGAGCTAGAGAAAGATGTAGATAGTGGAATAAGAGTTGATTCAAGACCCCAGTATTTATATGTTAAGTGGAATAGGAGTTGATTCAAGACCCCAGTCTTTAAACCTTAATCTGCCTTCACCAGAATCATACAAAGTGTTGTTAGTGTAGATACCAGGGCACAAGAAAACACAGATGGAACATAATGTGGAAGAGCTTCTAGCTTACCATTTTACTGTTCCTGTGAAATCCTTACATTATTTAGGTAATAGCATATAGTAGTGCTTAAGTTGTGAAGCTGTAAGCCAGATCTATTGGGCAAAGCTTTTCAGAAAGCTTTGTGTTGTTGCATTTCATACTTAATTTGATTATTGTGTTCTTTCAACAGATTGAATGAGGCTGTCATGCACTTTGGTGAAAGTATCAAGGAAATTGTTAACGAAGAATTTGGTGATGGCATGTAAGTCACTCCATTTAGCATACATATTAAATACTTGTCCTTATTTTATTGATTCAAAAAATATTGTGGTGATAGATATAATCTTTTCTTGTATGTGGATCTCTGCTTGTGTTTAGAACTTTAGGTTCATACTCTGGAAATGCTCTCTGCCTTTAAACTTCAAGAGTTCCGGATCTTGTGAACCTTAATGATTTGTCTCTGATGGTTAACTACTCTGACTTGCATAAGCTTATCTCTGGTTTGTTGCAAGCATGATTCGTAAGAAGTCTTTTGAAGATGAACTAGAGCATGCACAGTGTGTTTAGAGTCAACAAGCCGCTAGGCTATAGTGTTGTTTGATCACTGTATAAATGATCTATAGATAACAGGGGGGGTTATAATCCCTTCTTCACTATCTGTTGTTTGTTTAGTGCTTTTTGCTAAGGGATTAGGAATGATATTGGTATTCCTTAGGATTAAGCCATATTACCTGCCTTCTAGCACTCACTCATCTGTCTATGCTTTCTCGTTCGCAAACCCAAGCTCTCTAATCCCGTCTCATCCCGATTACCCTCTTCCTGATTTTTTTAATGGATAAATAGTGGGAAAAGAAAATTCTAACTACAAATTCACAGGTAAGTGATAGTCAAGTGTAAAGTTTTTTTCCGGCTCGTCCACTATGTCTTTGCTAATCAATCATCAACCTGATGCACTTAGTGTCTTAGTGTAGTCTCATTCATTATCCTATTATAATCCTGTGATTCTATATAGTGACTTTCTCTTGTTCTGGTGAATCACACAACCTCTCTGCATATTAGATTGTTTATACAACTAGCATGAACTATTTTGTCGCGGCTGCACACATGTTGTGTACACTATACAGATTATAATTGGCTGGCACCACCACCTTCGGATCTATAAAAACTAAAAAAGAGCCGAGGAGTCTTCACATATTTCTTTTATAAAAAAAAAAGAGCAGAGGATATTATGAGCCATGCAAGTTTATATGTGAGTGTTTCATACAAGTTTATGTTACTGTTAGTTGTTTTTCACTTGGCTTCCTGCACATGATATACTTGTACTGAGATGATATGTCAGATTTTAACTTTCGACTCAATGTTTAGCATGTCAGCTATAGACTTTTTCTGCTCAGTTGATAAAATCAAAGGTGTGGATGGAAAGGATCGTGTTGTCTTGACTTTTGATGGAAAGTATCTGCCACACACTGAGCAGGTAAGTTTCCTTTTTTACATTTCATAATTGTAAAGTTTGTTCTCCAAATTATTGTCCATAAAGATGACTGACCACTAGGTCTTTGTCACAATCGCCCTTCCTTCTCCACACGCACTCCCCACCCGCTAGGTGCAACAAAGTAGAGGTTTCTGATTTTTTATTTGTAAGGTCTGATATTAAAGGCTTCCGTACCCTCGTGCATATTCTGTGTGAGCCAAGCAAACTGATGCATGATTTCAACTCTGAGTGTCCTGTATTTGTATTTTAGTTAAGTAATCAGAGAGCTCGTTGCTCCAGCAATCAGTAAAATAAAAAGCTTCCTTTCACATTCTTTTCTCCTAGTTTTAGCATTTCATATCCTATCTGAGCTTTTCTACAGTTTGAACCGGTTCATATTGTAAACTGCAAGATGGTACTTACACGATATCATATATTCAAGTCGAAAATGTGGTGTAATATGTTTACATAAATCAGATATCATCAATGAAATGTTACAAAGCCAAAATAAATTTCCTATCAACTTATCTTGCAAAATAACAGTTAAAATCTTCGTGGTTGAACTCAACTTTCATACAAAAGCAAGGTGTGTGGTGTAAAATATTGCAAGACTGAAGGGATAATCTGTTTAAGCAACCGTGGGCCTTATAAATGTGATAATTAAGATGTGTTAATGCATGTGTGCTTATAGAATCAATTATTAATACGTCTATAACCATGTCTGTGAATTGTGAGTTTTAACTAAAGTTGAACTGATCAGGAAAATAAGACAAGATCTGAACTTCCGAGTTCTTGAGCTAGGACACATGTCCTTGGTTTGTATGTGGGCTAGATGGTGGTTTCTGTGCATCTGCTGGGATATATGTCCCAACAGAACCAGAAATAAACCGTTTTCTGTTATCTTTAACGGTGGGATTTACAATGTATGGCTTTGGGATCATATGAACAGATTTTGTATGCACAAGTCACTGCTTAAAACAGTCATATCGACTCTTTTGCTTGAATTCCATAGCTTTGTTCTATAGCACAGTGAGTGATACCAATTTGCTAATGCCTTCTCTTTTTTTGGCAGAAAACTGAGCATATGGTGTCAAGGTTGATGCGAAAGGAATAAGCATAGTTACTATAAGCAGTTCTGTTGCAAACTGTTGCTCTTTTTTCGCCAATAAAGTCTGATTATGTACTTGTCTTCTTTTTACACTCATCTATGTTTCAGCCTGGTTGAATAATACTCACTCGTTAGTCGAGTTTCAAAATGTCAAATCCCAAGATATGGTATTTGTATTTGTATATGTATATGTATGTTTGAGTTGCCAAGATTTGATAATGTATAAGTATGTTCTTCAATTGCCAAGATATTTATGTTCAACAGGTATATATATATGTGTGTGTGTTAGATTGTAGTACTTTTACTAGGGAGAAGCAGGGCGCTAGTCTCCTCTTCTCATCTTCTCTTTATGTAGCAGTCTTGCCTCGATAGTATCTTATTCTTCATTTTTTTGTCATTATTTTACTTTTTGACCTTTGATTGCACTTTTTTTTAGCTGAGGGTATATCATAAACAATTTCTCTGTCCACAAAGGTAAGGATAAGATCTACGTATATCCTATCTTCCCTAGACCTCATCTATGAGATTTTCCTGGATATGTTGTTGTAGGTATGTGTTTGATGGATGAACAATCAATTTTACTTCTCTTTACTCATTTACTTAGGTCTAAAAAACTCTTTATTCCTCTTCCTTTTTGTACCTTAGGAATTTCAAAAGATGCCATAAAATGGAAAGATTGTACTATATATGTCACGATTAACATTTTACACCATGTAAAAGAATGCAAAACTTTAGGCAATATGTTCACATTTTCTAGAAATACAGTAATCAAAACATTACATTCATTTTTTAAAAGAGAAGCTAAACAAGAGCTAGTAGAAAAAAGAATTTGCTCGCTAAGGGTGTGACCTATTAGTCATTTCGATATGTGATTCAACTTGTGCATAGGTATGAGCTAAATAGTTTACAACTCGATCGACATAAGTTATCCCAAAAAAACAGTCATCAATCGGCTATCGAACTCCACTCAATTGGTATTATCATTGAGAAGTAAAGATTATGGTTTAGAAATTACAAGTTACTTATTCATGTTAGCTTCAGGAGATTCTATACCTAAGGCAACTTGTAGGGTTACTACAGATCATCTTTTGTGAGATTTTGCATATGCAAACTACAATATACTACTAAGAAACTCGTTAAAAAAAAAAATGAAAGTAAAACAAAAATCACAAGAAAATTTCTAATCTCAACAAATACAAAAACAAATAAGCGATTTATTTTAATTAAATTATAATAATCAAATAAATCTTTAACAGAGTTATCCATATTAGTGAAATATAAATCTTGATTAATGATAAGAGTAAAATATAAGAGTAAATTGTATTAATTTTTTTTTTTAAAAAAAAGTGATTATAGGGGCATAATTGGAAACATAAATATGCATAATATCTTAGCATGTCTAGGTTTTTCTTCTTCCTACGCTTTCTACTCAGACATTCAACCCAATCGATAATCCCCGGAACCACTTTTATCAGTTCTTTCCATACTTTTCCGGCGATTCTCCGGCGAGTTAGCACACCGTCCGTTCGTATCTCCGGTAATCTAACTTCTTGCTCATTACTTTTAGCTGCTTTATCTACTTAAAATTAGCCCTCTCTGTTATTGTACGTTGCTCGTTACTCATATGCCGATAAATTTCTCATTGTACATTTTGAATAAGCAGACGATAATTTCATTCGTGTTAAGTTAGATTAAAGTTTTGTTTTTGATTTCTTCAGTATTAACGATTGGAATTTCCTTATAAAGGTTTATCATTTTGCAATTTTATATTTCATTTGACATTTGATTTTTTTTAAAAAAAAATTCATTTATGAGGACTTTTATATAAGTTCGAATTGGCTGTGTTACATTGAAGAATTCTATAGTTGTGAGTGAAATTTGTGGATTTTTTTAAATGTATGTTAAGGTGGGAATATTTTGAGATTCATTATAAATTATCTTGGTTTGAGCTGGGTATCACCTGTCTTTTATTGGGTGTTGGCATCAGCAATGTGCACGTAGGCGGAATTTTGTTTAGGAGGGAATGACTAAGGATATGTTAAAATGGTGCAGTAGCTCAATTCTTTGCTCGAGTAGATTGGTTACTTAGTTAGTCATTTATGCTAGGTCGTCTTGTTAATGAAGTAACACATAGTTCATTGCTCAAGAGTGGTGATTATATTTGAGATTTTTAGCTTCTGGATGTCTTGGTATTTCAATGATTTTTCTGAAGTATGTGCATGGCTCTCTGCATTGCACACAACCTTCTGAACTCCTGAAAAAGGAAAAAAGAAGAGAAAATTTTCTTCGTTTCTGAAAGCTTCCATCATTTTCATAAAAATTATGGTTCAAGTACGGAAAATAAAAAATCAGAGTTTCTGCTTTGAGGATTGTTATCTGCATGGGATGTTGTTTGGCTTTAAATAGATGCAAATAACAAGTGGTTAAAAGTAGCGTACCATAAAAAGAAACTAGAATATGCCAGAACACATTCTTATAAATAAACATATGTTGGATATGTTGAAAGTTGAATGACACTATAACGGATAACCTAGGTGTAAAAACAGGACACCTGGATATTTACATGTTTAGTCTAGGTCTACTGGTTACCACTAAGCATTTATTGGTTGTCGAAAAAAAAGTAAGCATTTATTGTGGCCTAACATTTCTTTCATGGTTTGTTTTCTCTTTGCATATGTATATAGAAAATATTGGAAAATTGATTATAACCTATTTGCAAGCATCCATAAACTAAAAGGTCCGATGGGTGCTTTGGCTCTGAAGCTGAAGTTTGAGTATGCTGATGCCCTGTAGCGAGAGTTTGAATCTTGTTAAACAACATATCTTTTTGATTGAAAAAAGCAAACTGCAGCTTTTTCTTACATTTTCTTACTCTTCTTTTTTTACCTTTTCACTGCTATTTACTAATATTTTCTTTATTGTTTTTTACTTTTGTGTATTTTTAGTATTTCATTTACTAACTAAACTATAGAAATATTAGTAAGCTTCAAGAAAGAAACCCTTCTTGTCTAACAACTTTATGTTAAAAGAAATGAGCACCCATGACTCTACTGTTTCTTACAACTAGATGCATGGTTAATTACCTAGAAGGTATGATGAATATGTTTTCCTTGTGTGCAGCTATTTTTTCTTCCTTTGAATGTGTTTCGATTGGATGCATGACCGTGAGTCTCTGACTTCTGCATCTAGTCAGGTGGTGACATATCCTTCTGTGTCCCATATGCTGAGGAGTTGATTGAAAGATTGCTAGCTTCTTGGTAGGTTAGTATTATGGGATCCAGTCGACAAAAAGATAAGAATGGTAAACATAATTCATCAAAGGGTGACAACAGTGATGGCACATCAGCTAGGACAAGACCTCTCAGCTTTGATGAAATTATGCTTAGAAGGAAAAGTAAAGCAGAGGAAAGGGACATTAAGAACAATTTTGTAGGAGCTGACAGTGTATCACATAAAGAAGACAGGCCTAAGAAAACCACTGATTGTTTGGAACCTGAGCGACATCGCTACGAGTCATTACCTAGTGCTTCCAGGCATAATTCGGAGAATTCTAGGAAGTTAGGGCCAACTCCGACAGAGGATAATATGATGGCTGATAAATATGCTAGGGATAAACACAGAGAAAGTAGAGAATCTGAAATCAAATTGAAGACGTCAATGAATAAAGATGTAAGCAATAAGAGACTAGCTGGTAGCAACACTGATAAAGATTGTCTTGTCATGAGAAGAAAAGATCAGGATTTTATTGATGATTCTGGAAATGAAACTGGTAAAAGACATTCAAGAGATTTGACCCGGAAGGAGAAATCGGCAGATAAGACTGATGGCAGACACAGAGAGGGAAGAAAAGACAAAATTCCTGGTAAGGATGAGAGACAGTCATACAGGAAGAGGAAAGATATGGAAATGTCAAATGATTCTCTTCTGAATGAGGCTGAGAAAAGGCATTCAAGAAATCATGGACGGATAGATAGTTATGCTGACAGAACCAAAGAAAAGTCTGAATCAAGAAGAAGGAAGCACCAAAATGATGATGAGGAGAGAAATGATGCTCTTCTGAATGAGGCTGATAGAAGGCATTCAAGAAATCACGGACGGACAGATGGTTATGCTGACAGAACTAAAGAAAAGTCTGAATCAGGTAGAAGGAAGCACCGAGGTGATGATGAGGAGAGAAATGGTGCTCTTCTGAATGAGGCTGAGAAAAGGCATTTAAGAAATCACGGGCGGAGAGATAGTTATGCTGACAGAACTAAAGAAAAGTCTGAATCAGTTAGAAGGAAAAGTGATGAGGAGGAGAGAAATAGAGACAAGAATGCCGATAGAAAACACAGTTCAGTGAAAGTTTCTGAAATTACTGGAAGAGTGGAAGCTTCTCGGGCTCATCTAGAGGAAGAAAGACCAAAGAGAAGAAGGTCAAGAAGTCGAGAGAATGATAGAGATCGGGGTAGAAGGTCTCGTTCTGGTTCACCGAGAGGACATAAGCATTCAGATCATGATCTCAGAGAGCGTGGTGAGTTTTCCTCTCATTCTTCCAAAGATAAATCTGGAAGATCACATTATGATCTGGATAAAAAGATATCCAGCAATGGTTCAGATAGCCAATCCAACCGCCATGAAGGATCTACAAGTGGTCTTGGTGGCTATTCACCAAGAAAGAGGAAATCAGAGGCTGCTGCTAAAACTCCTCCCCCTACTAACCGCTCTCCAGAACGAAAAGCTGCTTGGTGGGATCTACCACCTGCATCAGCTGGTACCAGTGTTACTGGTTCTGTTCCTTCTAGTGTTAAGTCTTCAATGCAGTCTGTAATACCAAATACACACCAGATCTCTAGCATGATTCCTGCTAGTTCATACACAACAAAGGCTGCCAGTGTTTCATATAATTACTTATCGTCATCTATACATGCAATTGATTCCGTCCAGCTGACACAAGCCACACGACCTATGAGAAGGCTTTATGTAGAGAACTTGCCAAACTCCGCCTCTGAGAAAGAAATTCTGGACTGGATTAATAATTTCTTGATGTCTTCAGGAGTTAATCGCATTCAAGGAACCCAACCATGTATCAGCTGTATGGTATGTTTTCTTCTTCTATTCTTGTTCTAAGCAGGATGGAGATTTCCGTTGCTTACTGTTTCTACACTGCAGATACACAAGGAGAAGTGTCAAGCTCTTTTAGAATTTTTAACCCCCGAGGATGCTTCTGCTGCACTATCTTTTGATGGAAGATCTTTCTCTGGTTCTATTCTTAAAATCAGACGCCCAAAAGACTTCGTGGAAGTGGCTGTAAGAATTATAACTATGAGACTCTTTGTAGATTGTGCTCGTCTTTCAGACTGACCTTTTTTTGCTTTTCTCTTGCTGCTATTGTATGGAACGTGTGGGAAGTTGATGGTATTTTGCATATTAACTTATGTAACATGTTATAGTTATGCAATATGCAGTTTATCTAAATTTTAGTGTTGGTTAAAAAGTGACAATTCATTATCGTTTGGGTAGTTGGGTTAAAATCTGTGCAGGTTCAAAGTGATTTGAAAAAGAAAACTACTGGATACCACTAGGGCTAAAATTGAATTGGGTCAAAGTGGTTTGAGTTAAAATTTGGTTGTCAGTGTTGTGTTAAAAGGGGTTTGAATTGAAGTTTGGTTGCCAATTCTTATTGATCATTATATGTAACAATCAGTAAATTCCGGAGTCCACTGATATAGACTTTGCTGAAGAAAGTTTGCTCAAGGTTACTAAATTTCCTGAAAACCCTTAGATAAAGGGAGGAAACAATGTCTTTTCTTTTGATTGTAATCTTCATACGAGGATGTGAAAAATGGTACACCACATTTTAAACCCAAGCACCCCTTCATGTGAAATGAGTCGTGTACTTATTTTATCATCTTAATGAGCAGGTCTAAGTGGGTACAAATAAGGAGTTAAAAAAAATTGTGTTCTTAGTTAAAATGAATCTGATTTTCTTCTCCCTTTCCTTCCTTTCTTTATTATATGACTTTTGGAGTTTGATTATTGTATGAATTTTGTCTTTTGTTGTGCAAGGGATGCTAAGTATGACTGTCTTAGCTGCTCTTTCCCCATTAATACATATTACTCTAAATCCATTCTTGACCTATGATTAAAGATTAAATAGACAGGCAACAAACAAAATTCCCCAGTAAAATGTGTTCTTGCAGGTAAAAATCAAGGTGTCCATCTTTATCAGAAATAAAAGTCAAGATCTTTATCTAGTCAAAGAGTAGGATGCATGGAGAGGTTGGACTTGTCCGCAATGCTTGAAGGATTGTTCAGTGTGGAAGATAACCTCTGACCTGATACAAATTTCATAGAGTCCCTTAGTAGTTGTTAGCAACAATATAGGCACCAAGATTTTGGTATATCCTATGTTTAAGATGTATTGATATGAAGTCCTTCTGATCTTTTCTTATAGTACCCTCAATACCCTTCAGCTCATATCTCAGCACAGAGGATGCTAACTCACTTGATCATCTGTTTAATTGGATGTTGGAGGATGACGATGGTGCTTTGCTAATGAGGATGGTGGATTTCACTGCATATAATATGGAGGGAGAATATAGTTGAGTTATATCAAATGAAGTAAAATAGTAAAATATGGATATTATGGTAGGGGAGTTCCGTTAATGTAGAACATTTGTTGCTCTGTATTTTCTACAATTTGACAATGCATTAAAATGTGTATTTAAGTCGTAGGAAGGTGGTGCTACCTCTTTATGTTGAAACTGTGATTTATTCTGCTCTTGTATTCAGTTTCTGAGGTATACTGTGGTCATTATTCATGTAGCAGGTTTTCAGACAGTTGCTATTTTCATGCAGACTGGTGTTCCTCAGAAGTCAGTGGCTGCAGCTGATAGGATAGATGACACTGTAGAGGATTCCTCTTATAAGGTATGCATCTGAAACAACACAAATGATTTGGGATTGACCTTTAGTCCTGCCTGTCAGAACTGGACGCAACAGTCACTTGTGCCATGTGTTGTCCTTGTACTTGCAATATCCATCAATCGTTACTTCTTGTGATAAAGTACAAATCTCCTATTTATTCTTGCTAGTAGTACTTGTCTTGTCAGTTTCAGTTAGTTTGGTCTAATCAGATTTAACAGGACTTCTTAAAAGTTGGTTGCTTTACTTAATATTTAGAGTTTACGTTCAAGAGTTTGAGCTCTGTTTATTATAGTTGTAAAAGAACTTCTTAGGTATTTTAAAATGTTACATGTATTTTAGCTTTTAGTCTGAGAAAGGAATGGAAGTACTTTTGAAGGGAGCTAATAGCCTTAATTGTGTTTTCTTTTGCTTGCATTTTTTCTTGTAGCATAAACAAGAAACACAGTCTCTCAAAATGATTTTAAACTGTAATATGAAAAAGATGTAAATATGGCAGCAGCTTGGCGTAATAACTAATATCAACACTTGATCTGATTGAAATAGGACAACATATTTGAGAATTGAGACCAATAATTTCTTCTGTGTGCTGCACTTTTATGTATGTTGTCGTATGAGACTCATATATACAGAAATCAATGATCCATCTGTTGAGTAAACTCATCAACAGCTGCTCTATGCTACTGCAATGCATGAATTCATGTAGGTCAATTATATGTTGGACAGTGAGGTTACAGATTATGATGTATGTTTTCGATTTTCTTTAGATGTTGATGTATGAATGTTCCCTCACTGTTAAGTTGAGATACAAAATTCCTCATTTGAACCTGTGGGATTGTGAGGACGTCACATTTGGATTGCTTTTCTTCTTTGTTGGTGTTGCCTTAACTCCTTGACGAGTCACATTTGTGACCTTCAGAATATTTTTTTTAATTTGGCTTCCACAAGGAATTCTTTGGAATTTGGTCATACAGTATTTCACTTGTTGTCTATTTGTCATCGAATGCTTCTGCATAATGCTTCCCATATATTTCAAGTCTGTTCCAGTCCTGTGGTTCCCTTTCCCCTTACATAACAATTTTGTTTTATATGTGTTGCAGATTTTTGTTGGTGGAATTTCAAGAACTATTTCATCAGAGATGGTAAGACTGAAAATGTCTTGAAACCTTTCCTTAATTAAAAAGAAGGAACAATGGAATATTGTACTCTCTAGTGATTTTGATCTTACCTGATGCTATTTCAGCTTATGGAGATTGCTAAAGCCTTTGGACCTTTGAAAGCTTACCATTTCAGGATGAATTCAGATCTCAATGAACCTTGTGCATTTCTTGAGGTACTCTTGGATTATTGTATATACCTTTCTCATATTAAATGAAACATCCTTTTCTTTACAGAAATGCACTTTCCTTCTGGTTCAAAGGTAGCTTTTATGCAACAAACAGTCTTATACATATCGTATTTTGCTGGCTAAGATTATTTTTCATTTTAGTGAATTACTGGAAGTACCAAGTGTAGTAAAAATGAGCAAATTGTCATTTTACTAGAAGTTAGATCATTTTCCTCTTCAACAATCTTCTCTGGGTTGAAGGGTGAATGAAACAGAGTTGGTCCGTCGCGCCAAACAAATTGATTTAACACTTTAAGCATGTAAAGAGCATGGGAGAGAATAAAGTTGAATCATAGACATGTATGCAAATGCATTGTAGAAATTGTCCAAGGAAAGATTGTTTATGACTTCGTACCTGTTGGCTTGACAGACAACGTGGTTTTGTGCTTGGCATAGAAAGGGGATGTATCATGCACCATCTTGCTACTATGTATTGACAAAACTTTATCTTTATTTTAATAATAAAATATACCTTAAAAGGGCATTGTTATCAATTTTTTCAGGCTGCGGCATGCTATCCTCTTTGAACTCTTTTTGTGTTGTAAATCTTTCTCTTCTCATTCTGCTACTTTTCTTCTCTAAGGTAGGACAAGTAAAATTTTTCTTTTTAGAAAGACATGCCAAAACTTCTACACATTTGTCAAACAATTGCTCTAGAATAACCAATACTGCTTCAGATCCATATGTGAGCTTCCACATCAATTCTATCAATGTGAGCCAATACCAAAAAGATATCATCTTTCAGACGGAAATAAATCAGAAGGATTGGAGGAGCTCTTAACTATTCATATTAGATTTTCTAGCCATCAGACTCTTTAATTCCTTTCCTTCTCAATGATCTGCAGAGCATTTCGCAAGCCCTCTTCATCCCTTTTAATAGTTGAGAATGAATAACCCTGTTTGTACTGGTGATTGTGTCAATTCTCCAGTGGAACTCTTTTAGTGCCAAAAGTAGCTTGCCACACACAAATTTCATATATGCTTGACTTAATTTTCTTTGCAGGTAGAGTATTCCTTTTATAATATTTTATTACCATGCTTTGGATTATGCATCACTATCGCTTCAACAGTAAACTTATTGGCTAGATACCTTTGTTTGTTACATAATGAGCCTCTCCGTCCCTTGTATTTCTCCATGAATCAAGTGCTGTGAACTCTCAAGTCTTCTTCAAGTTCAAGTTCCTCTTGCGTCTTTTTTTGATCTTAAAGTAATTATTTCAACCATTTCAGTATGTTGACCATTCAGTTACTCTTAAAGCTTGCGCTGGTCTTAATGGTATGAAGTTGGGTGGAAAAGTGTTAACTGTTGTTCAGGCTGTCCCAGATACTGCTTTACTGGTACTTATCTCAAGTCCTCTTATCCAGATTACTTTGGCTTTAGGTACATTTTTTAATCTTTTTCTTGGAAATACGAGTTTGACCAAAAGATACACATAATACTCAGGACAAAGATGAAAATACACCTTTATACCGGATTCCGCAGCATGCAAAGCCACTTTTGGAGAAGCACACGGAAGTTCTAAAGCTGAAAAATGTGGTATGTATTTATTATTTTTGTGACGTCAAGTTCATTTTCATTAAATAAATATTCTGCTTGTTATGCCAGTAAAAAATGTAGATGCTAGTAGAAATTGTAGAGAATTTCTAGTGCTAGAGAAATTCAACTTTATAATATTGTACTCGAGGAGCTTAAACTTTTAATATTCAGATAGTTGAACCCAACTTGCTTGGGTCTAAGGCGTTATTGTTTTCATAGGGTTGTTAATGAAAAATATCCTTGGATTATGCCCCAAAGGTCAATTACATCCTTAATATGACATTGGTTAACAAGCAACATCCTTAATGCATCATAAAGTAAACAAGTTTAGTCCAAAGTTAGTTTTTTGTCTAAACTAACAGTGAAAAGCCAAGCAAACGCATTACATGTGACCCAAAAAAAAGTCAAGAAAGCTTGGATTCATGAAACACATTGGTGTTTCTTCCCCGAGTTGCTTTGGATTCGTCAACCCACTAGCTTTTTTAGTTGCTTATTTTTTCAGTTTGTATACGTCGGTCAGTTGCCTATATGCAAATCCATTGCTTTTTCTTCAACTCCATGCTCAACTTTTCTAATCTTTTTATTATCCTTCCAAATCAATCTTAAGCTTTGTATAAGAGGTTCTGTTTTGGGTGAAAAACAAAGAAAAATATAGAAAGTGTTGGCTCGGAATTTAGAATTAGGCAAAAACCTGCTTTGTATATTCTCTGGACTTCATTATTTAACAAAGGGAATGTATTTTTGAAGAATAACCAGGCACTCGAATGGAAAGAGAGGCACTGCATGTCGTCTGTAGAGTTCAATAGTTCATTTCCTATTATTCTGTACTCTTTTAAAGTTTCTGCCTCAAGATACTAGAAATTTTCTTTTTGTTAATGAGGAATTGGACAACTTTTGAAATAGTAAAACAAAGGCATCTTTACCTGGTTTGGTCTTCTTTTTCCCCGTAACTGGTTTGGTTCATAACCTGTGAAATCAAGAAACTTGGGCTAGGTTAATGCCAAACCCACCAAGAAATTCAATATAATACTCAGGGAGTACACTTGCAGCAAGCCAACACTGAAAAATACCCAGTACGAGCAAACTTTTGAAGAATTTCACTGGGTATAGAGAAAAATAATGCTTCGTGGGACGCCTAATTTGCAGAAGAAGAAGACTATGGGATCACGACCACTTTTTCATTCTCAATTTTGTTTCTTTTTTCGTCACTAGTAATGTGTATGCTTGGCTTCACTGTTAGTTTTAGACATGAAAACTACCTTTGAACTAAACTTGTTAACTTTTTGATACTTTAAGGAGGTTACTTGTTAACAGTGATATATTAAGGATGTAGTTGACCTTTGAGGTATATTTTGGGGATGTTTTTTGTTAAAAACTCTGTAATTTGGATTATATTTCTTAGATGTTGCAAAAAACTTACCAAGGGGTTACTAAAGTCTTTCCTCTAATCATCGTGCCCTGTCCAGGTGGATGCAAATGTACTCAATTTTTTGTCTGAAGCAGAACTTGAAGAATTACTGGAAGACATCAGATTGGAGTGTGCCAGGTTATTTATGAAAAGTCCTTTTTCTTAATGTCATTGTTTTTTTTTTCTCTTAGTCAATTATTCACTGATCTGGAAAGTGTTCCTTCGATCCTGTAGGTTTGGCTCTGTTAAATCAATTAATGTTGTAAAGCAAAGTCAATGTTCTCTCACATCTGATCCTGCTGCTATGGATACTAGTTCTACGTTGAATGATAGCAATATGGAGTTTGGGGAAGGGTGTGACAGAAATGATTCGATCACTAGGAGTGATGATTACGAGTTGGAAGTTGGTGGGCCACACTTCCCCAACAGTGATCATCATGAGTTGGAAGTTGGTGGGTCACACATCCCCAACAGTGATGATCATGAGTTGGAAGTTGGTAGGCCACACTTCCCCAACAGTGATGAACCCATGGAAACCAATAGTGATGAGGAAGCTGATAGTAAAACACATATATCAGAAACTTCACAAGGTGATTCTCAAAAGGCTGGAGATGGCGATGCTTTGGCTGGTGGCAGTCATTCCGATGATAGACCTTCTGAGGAGCTAATAAAAGACGACAGCTCTGACCCTCTACCAGATGACAGTAGTGTCTCTGCTCAAGAGACAAACTTCCAAGAAAATTTCGAGGTTACCCATACTGGTATGGTTTCAGAAAGGAAAGATGAAAATGCTAATCCCAGTCCACTGGAGCATCTTGAGATAAACAATGAATCACCAGTTAAGGAAGCAATTAAGTCAGAGGAAGACAATGGAAATGCAGATGGAGCTTCTGAACCAGAATTCTCATCGAAAGAAGAGTTGGATGCTCCAGAGGAACTTGAGAAAAAGGAAGAAATTTCTATTACTGAGGTGTTCGATCCTGGCTGTGTACTTGTGGAGTTTAGAAGAGCAGAAGCTGCAAGCATGGCTGCTCATTGTTTACATGGACGACTGTTTGATGACCGGATAGTGAATGTGGAGTATGTTCCCCTTGATCTCTATCAGACAAAGTTTGCTAAACAAAACTAATTTCTTTTGGCCCATTCAATGCCTTACGCAGATCTCCCCAAACTTGAACGACGTTAACATAGGATTTCGCGATGCTTAACTGAATGTTTGTTTTTACCATATTGAGATGCCTTGGTTAACCTTTTGCTAGTGCGAGAGTCGTACCCGATTTGAAGCGGAATACATGTTTTCTCCCAGTAGAATGGGATGAAGGAATGAGCCATTTGTAATATGTTATCTAAAAATTAACAACTTTGTTTTTAGGTTGCAACAGTTTACCTACTACTTACAAGTTACAATATATAGGAGCACAATCTTATGGCTTCTTGAAATCTTCTACTTATTTGCCATGTTATTTTTCCTAAATATCTTGTGCCTGTAGTTCTAGTTGATGTTGGCCAGTTGATGAGATGATAGTTTTTAGGGGTTGTTTGGTTTGAGAGATAAAGGACATTTAATCCTAATATACTACAACAATAGCTTACTTAGTGTGATTCCATAAGTGGGATTTGAAGATGGTAGAGACGTTCGATATTCTAATGATTTGATTTGGTATAGTGTTAATACTCTCTTCGTTTGGTTTATGATAAGTAGGATTTGAAGAGGGTAAAGATGTTCAATATTGTAATGATTTGATTTTGGTAGTCTTAATACTCTCTTCGTTTGGTTTGTGATATAAGACTCCACGTGAGTAACTAATGGGAAATAAGATAAAAGCATAACTAAGATAACATCTTAGTTCCAATTAAGTTGGAGTCCGCTATTTGAATTTTTATTCCTTTATTTAACTAACTTTATATCATTATACTAAGGTAAAAGAAAAAGTATAATAATAATAATAATAATAGTATTTCTTTAATAAATTTCAAATCTATCCTCAACCAGTAATTATTGCCTATACAAATGATTTTTTTCTTTACATTGTGCTAACATTTTTATAGTTTTTTCAAAATAACTTCTTTCGGGTGGAGTTAAGTTTACCTAGTCTCCATCTAACACACTCACTTACCATAGTTTCACACATACAAATCAGTACAAATCATCATCTCAAACAACCTCACATGCGTGTTACTTGCACATTTTGATAAACGTTCTAATCTTATCTAATCATATATGAGAACACATCCGTCTAAGCATTTCTATTTTTGCAACACACGCTATTTCCATAAATGAATCTTGCAATGCACAAATTCAAATTTAGTCCAACGAATATGAATACCAAACAGGAAAAAGAAAGTAGCATTGCCAAAATAATCCCTTTGCACCATAAGGGTCGTTTGGTAGAGTGTATTAGGAAAAATAACGCATGCATTAGCAGTGTGTATTACTAGTACCTTGTTTGGTACTCTTTTCCAACCTATGTATAACTAATGCTTGCATTAGTTATACACTCTATTGTGTATTAAGGTGTGTATTGCTAATACCATGGATTTCTAGGTATTAGCAATGCAATGGTTTTAATGCATGCATTAGATTAACTAATGACAAAACTACCCTCTAATAATAATAATAATAATAATAATAATAATAATAATAATAATAATAATTATAATAATTATAATAATTATAATAATAATAATAATAATAATTATTATTATTATAATAATAATTTTTGTAAAAGAATGTGGGGGTATTTTTGTAAACAATTTTTTTTTAATAGTCTTTATACAAGGCTTGCTATTTTCAATACATCAAACCAAACAATGTATAAGAAATAATGCAAGCATTACTAATGCTTGCATTACTAATACATCATATTCAGCATTATTCTTATACACTCTACCAAACGACCCCTAAGGCTAAAAAAACAAAAGGCCAAGAAATAAAACCATTACCCACATCCATTTCGTTATCCACTCTTCACTTCCTTCATCAAAAAACAACATTCTTGAGGAAAAAAAAAGATTCTTGCTTTGAGGAATTGGAGCAAAAATGGCGACAATCACGGCAGGTATAAGCCTCAGAGGACCAGTAGTCAGTGGTAACAGGACATTTGCAGTAACCAAAAGGGCTTTACCCAAGTTGAAATTGAGCTCAGAGTTGAGTTTTCTCACTTCTCAATTGAGTGGTATCAAGATTTCAAGCACCAATTTGAGCTCTCCTGCTTCACTTTCTGTTCCTTTCAAGACAGCCCTTCAACCTGTTGCTCGTAATTTCTCTACCATTTTGTTGTGTTCTTTGTGTTTTTAGTTGTTGGGTTTTTTTTTTTTGGTCTAATGATGTGCACATGAACTGTTTGTTGTTTTGTTTGTTGGAGAGAATTGTTGGGTTTCGTTTATGATGTGAATTATGTGCAGGAAATTGTGCCTGTGGGAGGCTAGGTAACCTTAGAATTAGTCGAGGTGCGGGCACATATGGGCCATACACCACAATTGTCAAAAAGAAATTGTATCTGAGTATTTGAAGTTTTCTCAAGTACTTGTTACTTAAGGTAATGGTTGTTGAAGTATGTGCAAACTGACCCTGACATTACCATTATTTAAAATAAAAAAAAGTCTTGGTGCAATTACAAGGTTGCTCCTTTGCTGACCTGAAGGTTACGAGTTTGAGGAGCGGAAATATTAACCTTTTAGACCTATTGATGGTAGAGGTGAAATTTCACCTTCTGAATTTCGATTAATTGGATCAAATGTAAAGGGATACTGTATGGTATACACCTTCAGTCCCTCTACCCTTGAACTAGGGATAGTAAGTTCTTCTTGAACATTGATGGGGAAACAAGAAAAGATGATAACTTTAAAATGTTAATACGATGAATCATCATTTTGGTGCAGGGAGCCTTTTTTGTGTGTGTGTGAAGTGCCTTACTCTTAAGGGTCACAGGACCTAAATCATCATGAGGTTATTTGGTACTCAGATAATTGCTACTTCCATACCAGATAGTAGTCTGGTGTCTAGAATTCAGATGTCTGTTTTGTGTTAACAACACATCACGTTAGATTGTTCAGTAACAAGTGAAAGTTAGTATTGCTGATATGGGATGAAAATTATCCCTTACAATGTGGAGGATCCAAAGACATAGCTAAAGTTGGAAAAATTTAATCAAGTTGTAATTTGCAAACTAAATGTATTGTTTTCTTGAAATCTGTCGTATGGTAAACTGAGCACTTGACTATAATTCACATATCATTAAGTTACACATCAAAATCAATGATTAAAAACCATTTTATAGTCTACTATCTAAACAACCTCTTATGTTTTCTTACTTCAAGAGATTAAAGGGGTGTCATCATTCCAGGGGTTTAAAAGTCCAGTCGCAAGAAATAGGGATAGGACAACCTCATCATGTGCAACATTAAAGAACTGGGAAGAGCTTGATGGACTACATCAAACTGATTTAATGGAGTTGCAGTGTGAACTGCATTAATAAGAACAAGATTGATAGAATATGATATGTAGTTTGGAAGTTTGTCCATAGTTGTCTTCATATACTAAATGATCCCTGGCTTTTTCCTCCTTGGCTCTTTGTTCTCTGACTTAGGGATTGCCGATATTCAAGAAACAGATTGTCCAAGTAAAGGATTATAAAGTATTTTAGGATAAATTTCTTATATAGATGGTATCAACAGTTTTTTGGTTAACAAAGTTTGCATTCCTGTGCAGCAATTTATAGACAAAGCTACAAAAGAAATACTATATGCATGAGAAGATATTATACTTCTTGTTGAGGCCTTTTAGGTCTCATTAACTGAGTGCTGCCTAAAGACGGAGCTTCATTTTCTTGCTTTCACCTCTCTTTATAATGAACAGGATTTCCTTTTGGCAAGTTTTCGTTGTCTGCAGCTTGCCATCTGCCTATTCTTCTCTCCATGAAACTTGCAGCCTAATAGTGAAATAAAAGCTTAATGAGATCCAAAGCTTATGAAAGTAGATTTCTCGCTATCAAGAATATGGCAAATTCATTTACCTCTCAAATCCACCTTCTGCACTGTGTAATTTTTTAATATTTATTTACCCACTTGTGTCCTTATCCTTAGTGACCAAACTAGTGAAAAAGAAGGCGAAACCAATTATGAGAGCCTGAGAGAGTGTGTTAGCTGCAGATTTGGAAGGAAAAATCTACAGAAATTGAATCTTCGGGGTGTTTGCCCCTCTGGTGTACGTTATATTTTGAATATGATGATAACAGCTTGGTTAATTCGTGCTCATTGTATGACAACAAATTGTGAAGGGTTGACTTCTTTTGTGAAGTCCAGTAATGGCAGTATTTGGCTTTTAGATTATTGATGAAGCTTTAGTTTACTAATCAGAAAGCACATTATGAGAGCCATTAGGAGCACTATATCACTGACACTCTTGCTTGCTTTGACTCCCTTTCTAAGTTGCTGCATTTGTCAAACTGCCTTAATTCCTTCGTTTTTTTAGTCCAAAACTACTTAAAGCCTTTGAGCTAATAGGTAAAGTTAAAATTTTTAGGGACAAGAGTAATCAAATATTCCCATTGAATCATCCTTTCCTTGCATCATCATGATCTTTCCTTTCCCCCCTGCTTTCCTGCATTTTTGTCGGTTGTGCTCAAATATCTTGGCGCCTCTTTGTGATAAGTACGATATAGAATATTAAAAGAGTACATTCTGTTTTTTCAGGTAGAATATGCCCCTTCACTGGCAAGAAGTCCAACAGGGCAAACAAGGTCTCTCATTCAAACCACAAAACGAAAAAGTTGCAATTCGTAAACCTTCAATACAAGAGAATTTGGTGGGAGGAAGGCAAGCGATTCGTGAAACTGAGGCTTTCAACAAAGGCCATAAAGACCATTGAGAAAAATGGACTTGATGCTGTAGCCAAGAAAGCTGGAATTGATCTCAGCAAGAAGTAGAACCTGGAACCTGAGAGCATATTTGTTTGGACACTAATTTTGATGCCCTCAAAAACCATAACTTTATTTTTTGGCATTGCTTGTTAATTTGTAGTTATATGCTTTCATGATATTACTCTCCAAGCATATCTTGATCACCTACTTCCATGAATATCAACAATATTCTCTCATATCTTAAAAAAGAACAATTTAGTCTGGAAATGCAGGCTGTTCACTAATAAGCCCTGTGAAAGTGACACTGCTTCTGAAGTTCAGATAATCCCCACTTAGTCGCGGACTAAGGGTGAAGAACGAAAGGTGTTTTTTGGTCCCTCTATGCTGGGGGTGCTTCTGAAGAGTGGTTATGCACAAGCAAAAAAGGGAATGAAAGGTCCTTTTTGCGTTAGATAGTCGTTTAACCTTTACATTCAAGAAACAAATGCATAGAAGGATTGATGTGATTCAAGAGGTAAAGTTCATCTAAACATTCACCTATAACAAGAACGAAACAAACTAATATTACCATCTTTGACACATTACATTACATTAAACAAGTCAAAACTTAGTCTGAACAAAGTACAGTATGTTCAGAAAGTGTTTATGCTAAAAAGCTCATTTAAAGCTATCCACCAAAGTAGATAACACATTCCATTTGATTTTTTGGTTGCCACTTCTCTTCATCAGTCAACTACAGCTCTCCAAAAGATACCTGAAATCAGCATGTATTGCTTAAATTCAGTAAGGAGCTTCAAGATACTTTCTGCAAAAACAAAAAGCACATTAAAGCAACAATCACACAAGTTTTTGTATGGTCGTAGTAAAGAGTCTAATAGACGAAAGATACATAGTAACTCGCCAACAAAGATTGATTTCAGGAAAGGTAAAAACTTACTCGCACCCAATATAAGCACTGAATCAAGTTAATCCAAGGCTAGGAAATGCAGTAGTCTGAAATTGAGATAAAACTTTGTTTTGCTTTTCTTTCCTTCTTTATAGTTCTTGCTATGCTATAGATTCTGATGCGTTTATAGACGCTTTATCAAAAGATTCTCATTTTCTGATATTTTTATTTGACATTATGTACAGAAGATAGCAAATTAACCATGGTTAAATAATAAAAGTAGCTTTCATTGCTGAAGCAGTCAATTTTTTCTCCCAAAAATGGCCAACAAACATGTTCAATGTTCAGAAAGATTATTTGGAAGTCAAAGCCTGAATTTAAAGGAAGAATCACCTTCATTTATGTATCCTCCCTTGCAAATCAAAATCATCAGCTGAGTAGTAGTCTGATATGAGACGATACATATATGACGGGTTATGCCCTCCACTGTAAATCAGAAAGATGCAAGAAGTATTATTATCATAAAACTGCTTATTAATTCCCAAAGTGGCAAAATAATACATTACGAATTCCCCTTGCGTGCCCTCTTAAACACAACAACCACTAAACCTCAATCCCAAGCAAGGTGGGGTCGGCTACGTGAATCCTCATGGTCCATGTTGCTCCCTTAAGCCTGTCTAAGTCCAAATACACCTAACTTTTGCATGTAAAACCTTGACTCAAGTTTTTTTCATGTACTATAAACTATGGTGGAGTTAAAATGCAGTAATCTTTTTTTTTTTTTGAAAAGTAAATTGAACTTCATCAATATGGAATGGTACATGAATTGATTATTTAACCAATACTAAACATAACAAAATAAAAGATTCCCGTATATTAGTAGAGGATACAATGTAGAACTGTATTATCCAAGCTACTTTGTTATGTGCAAGCCAAAATTAGTTCGGGATTGAGGCATCGTTGTTGGAAAGACAAATAAAAATTCGAAAATGGTAAAGAATCCTCACATGTCGGTGATGAGAAGGCTGACAAGCTCAGGTGCCACATAATCAAAACCAGGGTTAACAACTTGAAGAGGAGCCCCGCTATCCATTCCAAATTCCATGCAGTTCGAAAATCTCCCGAATTCGAGAAGTTCAGCAGGGGATCGCATGTCATTCAGACAAACCTCTGGATTATGTGGATATGAAGGGCACAACTGTAGCAGAAAGAAAACAGTTAGACGGACTAGCTCATGATAATTACAGCGAAAAGTAGAAAAAGAGTTTGCTGCTCAAGTGGCAAGCATAAAAAAGGATAACTTTATGGTCAACTCAAAATGAATTCAAGGATCTGCAAAGCCTTACATCAACATTATACACCATTTCAAGGTTCTGAACATCATTTAGTAAACCTGAAAAGCTGAGTTCTTCTCATGTTATCAGAGTCTTCTAAATTGAGAATGATAATCAGCAAGATGTATAAAAATCGCCAATAGTTAAGAGTTAAAAGAATAGCCACTTAAGCGGTTGAACATTTCAAACTCGGAGTTGCACGAATGGTAAGCACCTCTCACCTCCAACTCTAAGATTGTGGGTCGAGTCACCAAAGGAGCAAAAAGTCTGGGAACCTGGGGAGGGGTAAGGAAAAAAAAAACTCCCTCCATTTTAATTTATTTGGTTGGTTTTGACTTAGCACGGAGTTTAAGGAAATATAGAAGATTGTTAATCTTGTGGTCTTAAACTTAAGATGTGTGGAATGTACCAAAATGCCCTTCAATCTTGTGGCCTTAAATATGTCATGTGGAAAGTTAGAATTAAGAAGTTGCCAAAAAAGGAAAGAGGAATTCGTTTTGAAAAACTAAGAAGGAAAGTAAGACAAACAAATTGAAATGGAGGGAGTAATACGTAGAGATAATAAAGCTCAGATACCTTGTGAATGCCAGCAACTACGACAAATGGAACAGCATGCTTTTGAGCGGCAAGTGCAACCATGTTCATTCCAACAGGTGCAATGACACCACCATTGGCCATCACTGCATGAACTCCCACTATAACCTACAGAACAAGGTTACGGTTCTGAGCGCAGGTAGCCGAAGCAGCAGAACAAGGTTACAGATTGGTACTACGCATAAAATAGCCAATCCAGAAAGTTACCATATTTACTCTAGAAATCATTGCAAAAACAGCAGAATCTGTTACAACTATAGTTTGTAGACCTCTTGATACCAGCTCTTTTGCAAGAGCATGCCCCTGGTACCTGATCAAGCACAAACAAAGAGGGGATATTTTACAGTTACAATGAAAAAGATGGTTCATGTTTCATTTATTTCTTGGAAATTACAGAATACTCCACAAACCTCGGTGCGCCCTCTGCAACAACCACCCGAAAAGACCGTTTTTTTCTCTTTTGCAGCACAGAGGAATTCAAAGGCAGTTCTCGAACTACCTAGTGTTAGTATTACTTCACTGAAAAAATTGCATTTGTAAATTAGCTATCACATTTTGATTAAAAAAAATACGTTCGCCACAACTATGCAGCTATATGCCCACAAAAGAGAGTGAAAAAGAACAAATAAATACATTAGAGGTGAAAGTCAAAACAACAAAAAACATTTGCATTGCAATAATGATTGTAACTATATCACCCCATAGCAATGTAAAGAAGGACAGCAACCAAATATTTTGTAAAATGTTTAAGCTACAAACCTATATTTGTCATTTTCACAGTAAGGTTGGAACAGTAGATTTGTTATTGATGAACAAAATGTGTTAATTTATCAGATAAAATGTCTATCCATTAAGGGAAGTGGCATTTTCCTTGACCCAAGCTGTAAGTCCTGAGTAACCTATCACAATTTTTTTTGTGAACTCCAAAGGGAAAACCCTTGGACAACAAACTACGGGGAACAGTGAAACGACAATATCCATTGCATGTTCAAATCATGCTACAAATGTTACTTGAAATATGTGGTGTGCATAAGAAAATAAAGACATATTTTCCAGTACGTGCGAAAGGTAAATACTTTTGGTGAATATGCTCAACTGCCTGTTCCGCGATCAGCTCATGACAAGTATCAATATCTTCAATTAGAATGTTAATTGCCTCAATGACATCATGCTTTAACTTCCGAGTCCTGGCAAGTTTATCAGCTGCAACACAGAATAACAGATAATTCAGAACTGAAACTAAAAAATGACTATATTGCTTCAAATTCATGTAGCACAAGAGCGTTTACCTTTGCTTTTCTCTTCAGAATCTCCACCTGAAGAGGAGGTGTAATTGTTACTCGGTACAGCTTTATCCGACATATTCTCCAGAAGTGCATGCAATGAAGGAGGCCGCAGAAAACTTTTAGCTGCAGCTGCAGCTGCGGCAGCAGACTGAGTTGGGTCATAATCCTGGTCTATGGTTCCTTCATCATCACTTGCAGCTGATAAATCTAAGTCGCTCGTTTTACTGGTCAAAAGAGAGAGATCCTCCTCCCGGATAATATGAAGAACACGCCTAACAATATTTCCAACAGCAAGCTCTGCAATTTCATCAAATTTTGGTTATATCATTCGTGGCATAAACAAATATGATTACTTAATCTAGAGTGCTATCAGAGGTCATTAATTTACTATAAATTCTCAATTTGAAATACTGTTGACAATCCTTGCATTGAAATCAACGGGTTCAAGCAGTGAAATTAAGTGACTGATAATTGCATCCAGATAGGCTTCCTACACTACACCCCCTTCAGATGTGACCGTTCCCCAGACCCTGCATGAATGCAGGATGTTCGTGCACCAGGCCATTTTACATATATATACACATCCTTTAGTAAGTGGAGTGACGAATAATGAGACATGGGGTTCATGCCTAAGAAAATGTGCAGAAGCACACCCAACACACTGAAATAAATCGAAACTAAGGCACCATCTCTCTCTCCTCCTCCTCTCCCTATATGTGCATGTGTGCATATAGTTAGCAAAGCAGAGGTATATGTCTTAGCTTTGACAGAGGGAGGAGAGTAACAAGGAAACTTTTATGGCAAGGAAAGAAGAGGCTTCCACCTTGTGAAGTGGAAAACTCTTACCCTCGGTAAAAAGCAAGGAGGACTAGGTATAAAGAACCTTAGAAAGCAGAATCAAAGTCTGCTCATGAAGTAATTATGGAGATATTCCAACAAAGATCAATCTTTGTGGAAGAAAGTGATCAAAGATAATTATGGAGATGAAGACCATAGAAGACAAAATCAGTCAACATTGTGTATGGGGTCAGTGTCCAGAAGACTATCAGAAATCTCTGGCAAATTTTCAGCAGCAAGATAAGCACTAAAGTTGGTAATCGGCTTGAAACATCCTTTTGGAAGGACAACTGTATAGAAGATAGCTCTCTCAAGCTCTTATATCTGAATGTTTTAATTTTAAATCAACAACAAAGGGTTAACATTAGTGAAGTTTGGAGCAATCAAGGTTGGAACTTCAGTTTCAGGAGACTCTTAAATGATTGGGAGGTGTACAGAGTCACTGAATTCCTCAACACACTCAAATCATTTCACTGGGAACTCACAGTTTATATTTTGCTTCAGTTTCTCCTTAATTATGGCTTTCACAGCCTTTTTGTGATTTTAATACAAAGTTGTTACCATTTCAACAGTAACAAGTATAGCACTACATGTTAGCAGAATTCGAGTCCTAAAACGAAACAAACAAATGGAGCAGCAGCTACAGTTAATGACTTACACTAAACCATAGATCAAAAATGTCCCACTCCTACACATGACTAGTAAACAAAGTTAACACAACTAGTTAATCAGGCATATCCAATTTTTTGCCATATTTCGAGCAAGTGAAGCAACTGGTATCAAACTAGACACGAAGCAAATATATCATTAAAAGAATTTTTCCATTCATTTGGAACACAAGAAGATTGCATAACAGAGACAAATGACCTGCACCAAACGATATTCCCACTACCAACTAGGATTGAATAACTCATAAACTACTTCAAAAAATAAATTCTAATCTAGAACAACAGAATTTCTACAAGCAGATCCTCATTCATGTATTAGCTGATAAAATACTTACCAACGGGGTTGGCAGCAGCCAGTTTAACACCTATACCCCTCACAGCCTCAATGAGCACTGCAGCTGAGTTTGTAGGTGGCAATCTTTGCAACGAAACTACAGAACGAAGCAACTCTGCTGTTAGCCGCGAAGTTGCTTGTGACCCTTCAACCTTACTATCAATCAAAAACAGAAAAGCAGATAACCATATTAGCCAATCAAATCAAACAAGTGATTCTTTCAGATATTTCCTATAACTGCAGTACTAACCGTTTGCTGAGCTTTGCAACAAAATCATTCACAAGTCTCTCAATATCCGGCATTTTTCAACTCAATAAATCACCAGAACAACTCTTATAGATTAGAAAAACACCCCCTTTTTGCACAAAATGACAATAACCTGGAAAAAGAACAAATTTTTAATATGTTCACTTACATTCTTGATTCTAAAAAAAACACAGAAAAAGGAGCAATCTTGAATATATGTAGTTAAAATCTGAAACCAACCACAATTTAGTGCTTCAATATACTGACCATTAACAAAAAAAAAAACAAGAACAAACAACCCCAAATTAAAGGAGAAGAAAAGCTGAAATCTTTTCTCTCTTTTTTATATAAAAAAAAATTATTTGTTAATTTCTACTATTTTTGAATACATGGAGAGGTATGAATTAAAAGGGACTTACAAAAAGATAGAATTTTGTTTAGTAATTTTACCTTTGATAACAGAGATTTTGTTGCAATGAAAATGGGAACTCCCCAGTCCCTGAAATGTAAGGGCTCGTTTGGTGTGAGGGATTAGAAATAATAGTGATGGGATAAGGAAATAGTGATGGGATAAAAAAAAAATTATGTTGTTTGGTTGGCAAGTCCGGGATAACTTATCCCGGGATTAATAATTAGTACCGGGATAAGTTATCCCTCCCCATGGGTGGTATAGTAATCCCGGGATAACTTATCCCGAGATAGAATAGGTAAATGACAAATATGTCCCTTTAAATCCTTTTTATATATCATTTTTTACATTTATGTATATTTACATTTTTTTTAATACCATGTATAATAATATTTACTACTCCTTATTTTTATGATAATTATACATATTTTTCTATTAAAAAATTATACTATATAAATATAATTTTTATTTATGAATTTATTTGACTAATTCTTATGTTTATTTTATTTTGATTTCTCATAAATTTTCTTCTCTTTAATAAACTTAAGAGGAAAGTTCTATTTTTAAGCTAAATAAGAAAAAAGTTATATTTTTAAATACACATGGTACTTATCATGGGAATACATAAACAAAAATATTTAAGTTAAAAAAAATAAAAGTTTTATTTTAAAAAATGAATAACTAAAGCTCACAAAGAAAAATTTAAAAAGTTTAAATAAAGTGAAGGGTAATTTTGTAAACAAACAACTTGTTCTTAAAATTTATCAATATATATTATTTTGAATATAACAAACCAAACACTCAATAAGAAATAATCCCAGGACAACTTATCCCATCATAACTAATCCCAACATAACTTATCCCAACATAACTTATCCCATCATAACTCATATTCAAACCAAACGACCCCTTAGGTTTAAAGAGGGTTTTAGGGGTATAACCTTTTTCTTCTCTTTTAAAATTATGGTGTCTGGTCTAATTGTCCGCGAGCATTTTAATTGATTTTTTCAATCAATATAGTTATCACGTATGTCTATTCATCAAAATTTGAAGACGGGAAGAAATCACCTGATGTTTGTTGAACTTGAGATGATCTCATGTTTCTTGATTCACTTATGATACTTATTTTCTTGTAGAGATAATAATAAAACACACACTTGAATTATTATTATTTTTTCACGAATTTTATCCATTAAGTATTAATTGTTCTTTTTTCATTCTTGAACTATCATTATCTATGTATTGAAACACACTTAAATGATAATTAGATATGAAATTCTTTAAAAAAATGATTATTCAAATATAGTTTTGGCTATTATCTCTTTCTTTTGATTATTTTCTGAGCCAATTCAAATGAAATATACATTAAAGTTGTCTTTTTAAGAAAATGAATTTTAGATATTGTACATCAAGTTAAAAATAATTATAAAATATTATTGAATCTCTTTGGTAATAAAACCTTTGTAGTGCAATGCCAAATGCCAATGGTGACTCAAAATTAGATTTTGGTTGAGAATTTGAATTATAGGTGTTATATTATTTTTACTTTATTAAAAAAAATAATAACAAAAATTGTGTGTTCATCCTGAAATAAATTAGCCTGAAAATTATCAACATACATAATGTCTTCTATATTGGACTCATATAACATCTAGATTAACTAGTAAATGTTTACTTATTTAGATTTAAATCATCTCTAATTCTTGCAAAAATTGAATATATATTTATCATGCAACAACCATTTTCAAGTCATTAGCATAATAGCATTAATTTATTGTATGTATATGTGTGAGGTAATAAGTATGTGATTGAATAATCGAGGTGCCTTCAAGTTGAGTACGATATCATCATTAGCCAAAAATAAATAAAAAATTATAGATATACTTATGTTAAGTACACAATGAAATGAAGATTTAGCAGTATACTAATTAAGTTGAATTCTTATTGTCATTGGCGGAGTCGCTAATTCAAAAAAGGAGAAAAAAGTTATTTTTGTGTTAAAGAAAATTTAATAATTTATATAGATTTTTAAAAAAAATACTCTATCTTCATAGTATAATATTTTTACGAAGGAGTTTAGTTGAACTCCCTTGCATCCTTCTGTCTCCGCCCATGCCTATTGCCTTTTGCCAGATGGATAATGAAAAATATGATAAGAATATAGGATTGAGTCAAGCCGTCTTTATGGGATTTCAGTGATATTTATGATATTGACTAAGCATGACAATTTTATTGAGTGTATCATTGACCCGCGACATTTAAAATATTCTCGCTGAAATATGAGGAAGATTATTGCCTTCTAGTGCAAATGAGACAGTTATCTCAAAATTTTGTGCTAATTTATTAGAGGAAAACAATTTAAATGTTATTAGCTATTTTTTGCTTTATAATATAGCATGTACATTTTGGCATCATGTTTAATTTCTTGCACATTAAATATTATATTTCAGTTTCATGAATTTGATGGAGATTGTTATGTGCTTCATAAAGGAAAAGAATATTGCATGTAACCATATAGTATCTATTAATGAATAGAATTAATGTAGGAATTTCATTTCATTACATGTAATTTTAATGAACTACAATTCTGAAAATATAATGATAATAATAACATTGCAGCAGCTTAATTTGGTGTTCAATGATATTAGAGGATATTTAGTAACCTCCTCCAATTCCACCACCACCTCCTCCACCAAAACCACCTCCGATACCTGCACCTAAACTACCTCCTACACCAAATCCGCCTCCAAATCCACCACCGGCACCTCCTCCAATGCCACCAATTCCTCCTCCTCCGCCACCACCACCACCAAATTCAATGCCGCCACCCTTGCCAATTCCTCCTCCTACACCACCACCGACACCACCTCCAACGCCACCACCAACTCCTCCTCCTCCTCCTCCTCCACCACCACCACCACCACCACCAACTCCTCCTCCTGCACCACCACCGACACCTCCTCCGACGCCGCCACCAACTCCTCCTCCTCCTCCTCCTCCTCCTCCTCCTCCACCACCACCGGCACCTCCTCCGATGCCACCACCAACTCCTCCTCCTGCACCACCACCGACACCTCCTCCGACACCACCACCAACTCCTCCTCCTCCACCACCACCACCTCCGGCACCTCCTCCGATGCCACCGCCAACTCCTCCTCCTTGCACCACCACCAATACCACCACCTTTACCAATTCCTCCTCCTACACCACCACCAGCACCACCACCCTTACCAATTCCTCCTCCTATACCACCACCTCCACCTACGCCACCTCCAATGCCTCCACCTTTGCCAATTCCACCTCCAGCACCACCCCCAACTCCTCCACCAATTCCGCCACCTTTGCCAATACCACCTCCTATGCCACCACCTTTTCCAATACCTCCTCCTACACCACCTCCGGCTCCTCCACCGATACCTCCTCCTACACCACCACCAGCACCTCCACCAGCACCACCACCAATTCCTTCTCCTTTTCCACCTCCAGCTCCCCCACCAATACCGCCTCCTGCACCGCCACCAGCTCCACCTCCAATGCCACCACCTTTACCAATGCCTCCACCTATTCCACCGCCTCCTGCACCGCCACCAACTTCTCCTCCGATGCCACCACCTTTACCAATGCCTCCCCCACCACCAGCTCCACCTCCAATGCCACCACCTTTACCAATGCCTCCACCTATTCCACCCCCACCTCCTGCACCGCCACCAACTCCTCCTCCGATGCCACCACCTTTACCAATGCCTCCCCCACCACCAGCTCCACCTCCAACGCCTCCACCTATTCCACCCCCGCCTCCTGCACCACCACCAACTCCTCCTCCAGCACCACCACCAACTCCTCCTCCAATACCACCACCTTTACCAATGCCTCCACCTATTCCACCTCCTGCACCGCCACCAGCTCCTCCTCCAATGCCACCACCTTTACCAATTCCTCCCCCACCACCAGCTCCACCTCCAATGCCTCCACTTATTCCACCCCCGCCTCCTGCACCACCACCAGCTCCTCCTCCAATGCCACCACCTTTACCAATGCCTCCACCTATTCCTCCCCCGCCACCAGCTCCACCTCCAATGCCTCCACCTATTCCGCCCCCACCTCCTACACCGCCACCAGCTCCTCCTCCAATGCCACCACCTTTACCGATGCCTCCACCTATTCCTCCCCCACCCCCAGCTCCTCCTCCAATTCCACCCCCTTTACCAATGCCTCCACCTATTCCTCCTCCGCCTCCTACACCACCACCAACTCCTCCGCCAATGCCTCCACCTATTCCTCCTCCACCTCCTGCACCACCCCCAATTCCTCCGCCTATTCCACCCCCGCCTCCTGCACCGCCCCCAATTCCACCACCTTTTCCAAACCCACCACCAATACCACCTCCACCATAACCACCTCCTCCGCCTCCACCATACCCTCCACCACCTTCACTGCCAAAACCTCCACCAGCACCAAAACCACCACCAAATCCCCCTCCCTCACCAATAGTAAAAAACTTCTCATCCTCAAAATCTTTCACATTTCTAGCGAAAGCCACACTTCCCACAAGAACATAAAAGCAAAGTAATGCTAACACCCCTACCCTCATCACTCCCTCACTTATCTTCTTCAAAGAATAAATTTTGAATTGTATGTGACACCTTTATTTTTTCAGTTTTTTCAAACAACTAATGTGAGCAAATGGCATCAAGATCCGAAGGGCGTTATATACTTGCAAGAAAACTTGACATTTCTTGCTCTTGCATTGATGATATATTTTTGCATTAATTTGCTTCAACTACTACCTGTTTGCCACATTCAGAGTTGGGATTCATACATAATTATGAGAACCTGTTTTCTTTAATGACTATTTTATCTGTTCATCATAAGAAAACAATTTTGATCTTTAATTTGAAACAATACCATTTTGCTTTCAGACAACAAGGTCAAACATTATTTCATTGGTCCATATAAAATTCAATGTTAAAAACAAAAATTGTCTGCCTATAATTGAATTGAAGTAGTGCTTTCTTTCATTTTGCATTAAATGCTAGAATTTCTCTTATTTGTATAGTCAAATTGTTTAAGTTATACGTTAGTCAAAGTAAATTATTTACACAATTAAATTACTAGCTCAAAATAATTACTAGTCAACTTTTTTTTATAAACATTAATATAGCTAGGTAATCTAATATAAATGCATAAGCAAATTCTGAATTTATTTTAGTATTTATTTCTATTAGCATTAAACTTATTGTAATTTTAATTAAATGAGTTTATATATAATTTTAGTGAATTTTATTAAATTTATGTTCCGCGTAAAAATACTGAATTCAAGCGAACCAGGTACCACAACACTACATTTACCTTTGTGTGAACGGTAATTGATTTACTAGCACAAAAGTTAAACTACATAATATTTAATAGTATAAAAAAGTTATGTGCATTATTAGTATATATACATTAAAATTATTTAATTTGACAACCATTTTTTTAAAGTAATATTGTGTATGCCTAATGGGGGTATATGGTGGAATATAATAAATTTATGTGATTTTGAGTTTGTTGGCACCATAAAATTAATTTTGGGTTCTAAAATTGACAGCAGTAGTGGCTTTTGTTAATGCTTCATCAATTTGAATTAACACTTAATTAATTTTTTTATGGTTGTCAGCTAAGATGCTAATATATAGCTTCTTGATTTCTTCTATTTCTGTCTCAAATTATTTATCGTGTTTTTTTATACATCTTTTCAAAAAAAAAATATTTAGAAATGATTTTGATAATTTTTCCTTTATTATGTATTAAGAGTAAAAAATTTTAAAAAATATTAATTAATTTTATTGTGAACTTCTTAAAAATAAAAAATAATTTAAAATAAACGATCAAAAGGTTCTTAAAAGCCTCTCATAAAAGTTTTGAGCTTCCTTTTTCATACCTAATTTATGTGTAATTAATTAATCGCACTCAAATGCTTTTCTATTATGCAGTTATGCTACTGGCTACATCATTAATTTTATTTAAGAGAAAATAAGCCAATTTGAATATATATATATATATATATATATAAATATATATACTATGCACTTTCCTCGTTTCATTTTAGTTGTCGCTTTATTATTTTACGTTCGAAAAATATAAAGTATAGTATATTTATAAGTTGTCCTTATTTAGATGCATTTTTGAAAATAGAGAAGTGTTGAAAAGAATTAATGTTTTTTAGTGTCAAGTGTATAGTTGAAAATAATATTATCATTTTTAGTTCTAAATTCCTAATATAACAATTGTTTTTGGATTATTATTTCTTTTGAGTTAAAGGGACAATTAAAATGAAACGGAGAGAGTTCTTACGGATATTTATATGCATATTTCATAGTTAAGGCCTAACAAGTTTGAATATCAACTTTGGTTTATCGTGATGTGCTTAACTATGGATTTTCAAGAAAATTAATAAGATTATTAACCATCATTTTTGTATAATGGGGCTTTATTTTGTATTCGTCTTTTTCTATCTTATTCCATTTCAAAAATACAAGGGATTGATATGGTTAGATGGATGGGATTTCTTAGCTTTTAACGAAAAATTCCACAGGTGATGAAGAAATATTTTGTAGGAACACAATCAATGACCAATCATACACAACGAATTTGGATTAGTCAGACCAACATTTTTCATATAATAGATAGTTTTAAAAAGTAGTTGAAATACTTAAATAATAATAAGTTCCTAAACTCCATTTAGATTATCTTTATACTTCATAATAAATGTCTATGAAAATAATACTTTTTAGTCCAATTGGGAAATTCACATTTGTTCTTTTCTAATAGAACTAATATGTTTATTCTTTTTTATTTGAGATGTGTTTACTTAACTAATTTTCAACAATTTCAGTGAGATCATCAACCATCATTTTCATATAATGGTGCTCTAATTTATATTCACCTTCTTTTGTCTCTTTTCATTTTAAAAAAAGTTATCATATAGTTCATCATCAAGAAATACTATGGAATAAGAGACAAACTCAGAATTTATAATTCAATAATTTTAATAGTTAGATTTATACCATTGAAAGCATTGGAAATTTAAAATTATGGCTTTATAATTCAGTATTTTATTTTTTATTAAAAGTATTAGATTTGAGTCTTGAAAATGGAGAAATCTCTAGTAGTTAGCAAACCTTCTCTTATATGGAGACATTACGAGACATGAATTTGAATTTGTCAAACTAGCAATTTTCGGATAATATATGGTTAAAAAATAGTTGAAATTCTTCGATGAAAATTAGTTCCAAAACTCCATCTAGATCGTTCAACTTTTAAGACGGGTTTATACTTCCATAATTTACGTAAAATGACTTTTGAGACGTGAAATGTGACAACCATTTATGAATAGAGAACTAAGTGTATGTAAAAAAAAATAGAAGATAATTAAGAAGTAATTGCCTATAGTTATACATCAAAATCACCAATAGTGTGACTTAAGACAACCTAATTTCTTTCTGATTTTATTTATTTTCTTTACCTTTTCCAGCAAACACACATTGACTTTCTGGTGCTAAAATAAAGACAATCACCAATTATTTTCTCTTTTTGTGTACCAATTGGAGAGTTGCAAAAATGCTTTGCACTTTTTTTTATGGTTTTCTTCACTTTTACTTTAGTTCCAAGACAAGCTGTATTTTTTAGTTTGTATATTCGAGATTCATTTATTTATTGACTCAATTTGTTTAAATTTATTTTAACCTATTTATTTGACATTTTTATTTGTATTATCTAACTTCATTCAAAGATAAAAGTTGATTTTTTATGAATCTATTGGTGACGCCATCAGAAAAGTATTTGCTAATGAATAATCAGAATCAAATCCTCGATAACTATGTGTATATTTATAGCTAAGTCTTAGGAAACATTATAGGTGAATCTCGTCCTCATAAAGATTTATTTACACATATTGCTTCTGTTACAAATTGAATTGCGTAATAATGAGAGAAGATCTCTGATTCAGTTCTCGAGAATGGTTGAAAACTTGAAATCATAAACTTATTCTGATCGATTATTTTTTGATTCCCAATCTCATACTTCCAAAGTTAGATAGGCTATACCACCACATTACTAATTTTGTTTATAACATGCATGCAACTCTATCTAAATCTAATCGCGAGCAAGATCATTGATCTTATTAGCCATATAGAAGAATAAAATTCGATGTTATTTTTGTTGAATCATATCCGATTTCAAATATTAATAGTTAATAAGCCTTATGAATTAGTATTTTGCCATTGGGTACTAATTAATTCAATATTGCAACTACTTAATTCCCCTTATAAATCTGACATGTTCATTTTCATTTTGTACAAATGTACATAAATGGAAGAAAAGTATATTAATTTATTTGAAAAATGGAAAAATTAAACCCACTGAATAAATTTATATTGGTGGCAGTAAATGATCACATGGCATGGAAGATCAACAATGAAGATCACGTTAGTCATGAGTTCAGACTAAAATAATTGTATGGCATTGATGTGATCTAGTGTTTACTATTATCACCTTTACTCTCGAGTTCAAACTCTGATTATGAAATCATTTTAATAGAAAATATTTTATGCACAGAGAATTAATGTATATCTTGATCGAATCTAGATTGATGTATTGATAGTAATTTTTTAATCACACATAATAGAACATATGCAATAGAAATAAAAGATAAAAGCAAATTCGATCCATTTATTTTAAATTAAAAAAATCAAAATCGATCAAATTTCTCCAAGAAGGTTCAAACCTATGATCAATTTATTAACAATCAACTGTTACATCATTATGCTACTCAGAAACAACAGAAATTCGATCTCATAAAGTTTAATTTCCCAACTCAGGACCAATATAATATATATGAGCTATTGCAAGTAGATAATATAATACTTGCTTCGGTTTATGTTATATATTTTTTAAAAATTGTATACACCGTTAAATTAAAATATTTAATCATGTTAATCATGAGTGCATTTGTCTAAATTACTCATTATCTATCTTTAAACGTCACATCTAATTAATACCCCACTAATTGATTTTTAAAAAATGATCTAGAAAAATAGTACGTACTTGAAAGGCAATATCTTATGTTTTCAAGATTAACTTGCGTAAACCTTGACTATTCAATAATTTTTGCAATTATAGTGTTATATTTTAGCGGTGAGAAAACAAATATTTGTTTCAAAAAAAAAATTGTGTAGCACATGGTTACAACTCTTTGGCATATGATAATAAATACAACCTATTTTTATAATTGATAAAAATGTAATAGTGAAAAATGGAGAAAATAAATTTAGGTAGTATTATCTAATATTTTTACTTTTTTTTAAAGAAAAAAAAATCAAATGTAGCTCTTATCAAATTCACTACACCTTTCAAAAAATAAAAAAAATTCTGAGCAGGAAGTTTTTCCAATAATAATTTAATTATAGGATACTTTGGCTATATTTACTACTTATGTTTGCCATTATTTTTTTTTCCTAAGTTAATTTCATCACATATTTTAATTTTTGTATTTTTCAAGTCTGTTTTATAAATCACTTTATTATATCTTGAGTCTTTCAAAATAATTTTTCTATTCTGCAAAGCTAAAATTTGTATATAATTTACCCTTCGATCCTCAAATTTCACG